ACGCGCCGGGCTGGCCAGTGCAGGTGTGGGGAGGAAGGTGATCTGCAGGTGGTCTGGGAATGGGTAGGAAAGGGAGCCCAGTCCTGCCAGGAAATTTTCAGAGGGGAAAGAGTCTTGTCCCTGAGCATGCAGGGGTGGTGAGCACAAGGGGAGACAGACAGAGCGGTCTGGAGCCAGGATCAACTGTGCAGTGGCCACATGTCCACAGCTGCTTTATTTTGGGGCCACAGCTGTCAGGATGCACTCAGCTCTGCCTTTCCCACCCTCCTGGAAAGGGCACCACGGGGTGCAGGAGGTCTCACCCTGGCTGAATTTCTGTGTGATGCAGAAGGAGCACAGTTCTGTTYAGCCACCAATGGACTGTGTGGAGAGCCTGGCTTCACTCGCAGCAGAGATGCAGGAGGAGGGACCATATTTTGCATTTCAAGGCTGATGTGAATTTGTACAAGAGGAAACCAGACTCTGGAGGCAGTTCCTGCTCCCTCTGCACCCCAGCCATCCATGAGAACTCAATGCTGGAGCCTTCTGGCCGTGCAAGCGGTTCGGCTTCAGGGCAGCAACCTGMTGAGCTGTAAAGTCCTCCTGGGAAATCCAGCTCGGGGTTCCCAAGCCCTTTGTCCTCTCTGTGCCTCAGACTGCCCGGTGTAAAATGGAGATCACAGCGTTGTGGCAGGGTTGGGATGAGCAGCTCAGCCTGGGAGATATTCCCACAGGAGCACCCATGCTGGGGGATACCACAGCTGGGCTTGCCTGTGGCTGCCAAGCCCAAACGTGGCTTTGGAGACGCAGAACTGAAATGATCTGATCTCTGGGTGAAAACTGTCAGGGTGGCTCATGGCCTGGGGACAAGAGTCTTGGGGGTCCATCAGAGAAGTCAAGCACATGAAAGGTAAGGAGGCCAAATGGTGCAAAGGGTCTGCTGTCATGGTAACAGCACTCGGGGTTATAAATTCAGAGCCCAGGCTCACTTTTTCCCATATAACCTTTTAAGGTGGCTGAGTTTCCCATATAACCTTTTAAGGTGGCTGAGAGTCGTTAGGCATTGCCCTGCAGACTGACAGGCTCTGCCTGTGCTGCGACCCTCTGCTGACACCTCACCCCGGCTAGGAAAGTCACCCTGTGGCTGCTGCCATGCCCTGGGACCCTTCCCTGCTGTAGGGCTGGGTGCTGTTCAGAGACACAAATCTTGGGGTTTCATTCTGGATCTGAARAAAGCAAACGAAAACCTGCTGTTCATGGAGCCGATGTGGAGGGGAGTCAGCCCCTCACCCCTYCGGCACGGACCCCCCTCATTCCCGCTCCGCAGCGGCACCGGGGGTRCTCCCTTGTACCGCGGCATCCTCACAGCACCTGCAGCATCTCTTGGGCAGCAAACCGTGCCCGCTTTTCCTCCCCTCCTCCTCCTTCCCAAGTTTCCGTCTGAACGCACATCTGGGAGCGTCTTCCCCAAACACATCCATCACAGCTGCCTTCCAGCGGCAAACAGAACATCTGGAGATGCTACTGGTCCGGAGCCTCCCGAGCCCTGGGGGGCTGAGCCGGGGGGCTCAGGAGCTGCTGGGCACAGTGCCCCCGGCCCCGCCGAGTCACCCAGACTCAGCCCAGGCTGGAGCCGGGGGTGTCGGGTCGCAGTCCCCTCTCCCTGTACTGCCCAGGCTGGAGCCGGGGGTGTCGGGTCGCAGTCCCCTCTCCCTGTACTGCCCTGCGCTGCCGCGGGGCTCCGGATCCGTGTGTGACTCACGGCTCCCAGCTCCTTTCCCTGACAATCCTGCAGGCGAGGGAAGCTCTGAGACAGACCGAGGAGAGAGGAGAGATGCTGCAGCCCCTCCGCTGTCGCTCCCCGAGTCTCACCCTTTCCTGGCTTTTGCTCGGAGCTGCCGTGCGAAGGAGAAGCGGGTTCATGCCGCTGCTKTCTCATCTGCGTGTGTGCGTGCACGGAGCTGAGGGAAAATCCTCCCCTTTTCTTTCATTTTTCAGCCTTTCCTTTTATTTTTTTAGCCTTTCCTTTTCCCCTTCCCCCTTCYTCTCCTATTTCTCCCGCTGAATTAGCTGCCCGCCTTTCCCTTGCAAATAACACCGGCAGCACAGGCTGGGTTTGCGGGGTGGTATTTTGTGCCCAAAATGGAGAGAGGGGGAGGAGAAGAGGTGCCTAAATCCCGCAGTCGCATACCCGGAGCTCGGGGAGCATCTCCCTCTCGGGCTGGAGACATCCGGGAAGCAGCAGCCCCGGCTTTCCGCACTAGTTAACAGCCTGCGAGCTGCCGCCACTTGTTTTAGGCTCGCTCGCTTAATCTCAGCTCCCCTCGGCGCGTGTGCCTGTGTGTGTGTGCAGGGGGAGGACTTGATTGCCATTGGCTCGGCTTGCGCTGCCCACCCACATCTCTTCCACATCACCTTGGTGTCTCCCTAAATAAAACCAGCCCTCCTTATCGCGCCGAGGAAATCAAGAGCGAGAGTTTGAATGGATTTTATATAAATATTTACCCGACGAAGCTGCTGCTGAGCTCGTGGGATAAACTCGCAGCAGCTGGTCTCACTCTGCTTCCCTCGCCCACCCCTAAAAGGGTTTTATTACTTTGCAGAGGAGAGGGGAGAGATCCAGATCMCAGTTCTGGCTCCAGACTGACCTGAAAAGCAGGACCAGGATTTAACTGAACTATGGATCTGAAGGACAGCACCAGTGAGGGCAGCATGGGCAGCCTGCAGCCTTCCAGCATCCAGATTTTTGCCAACACCACCACGCTGCATGGGATCCGCCACGTCTTCGTCTATGGGCCGGTGACCATCCGGCGCCTGCTCTGGACCTTGGCCTTTGTGGGCTCGCTGGGTCTGCTCCTGGTGGAGAGCTCGGACAGGGTGGCTTTTTACTTCTCCTACCAGCACGTGACCAAAGTGGACGAGGTGGTGGCAAACAGCCTGGTTTTCCCCGCCGTCACCATCTGTAACCTCAATGAGTTCCGCTTCTCCCGCCTCACCACCAATGACCTGTACCACGCCGGCGAGCTTCTGGCGCTGCTGGACGTCAACCTGCAGATCCCCAACCCCCACCTGGCTGACCCTGCYGTCTTGGCCACCCTCCAAGAAAAGGCCAACTTCAAGCAGTATAAACCCAAAGTTTTCAGCATGCAGGAGTTTTTGGCACGGGTCGGCCACGACCTGAAGGATATGATGCTGTACTGCAAGTTCAGAGGCCAGGAGTGCAACCACAAGGACTTCAAAACTGTGAGTACCAGCAGACACTCTGCTTTTCTCTTCTCTGGGCRTGTGGAACGGAGTGTTGCAGGATCTGGACAGCCCTGGAGGTCACTGGCCAGGCCGTGTGGGCCTGCTGTGGTGATGCGGTGGCTGCCGGGCACTGGTGTGGCACAGGAGGAGCAGGAGCAGCCTGTTGAGCTGAAGTTTGTTTCTTGGAGTCTGAACGGGGGCTCTGTGGGGCCAGACCTGCAGGCAGGTCCAGCCTCCATTCTGTGTGAGGCCTGTGGGTCCCAGGTGGCTGCTGGGGGTCAGATGGGTGGGTTAGGTCCTGCTGACCATCACGGGGGACCTGGCATTGCCGTGGAAGTCTCCAGCTGCAGGGAGCAGAGAGGGCTGGGCAGAGCCAGCAAGAAGGACAGGTGCTCGGGGCTGGTCTGAGCCGTGTCCKGATGTGTTTCTCCAGGTGTTTGCAGCTTTGCTGGAATTGTGGAAGGGGATATTTTTCTGCCTGTTCCCGGTGTTGGTGGCTAATAAATGCTGGTTTGCTGCAGAGTGTGGGCAGCAGCTGGGTACCTGCCTGGTGCTGCGTGCTTCCTGTGCTGTGTTCGATGAAAGGGGGCAAAGAAGGAGAGAAAAAGCAATGAGGCTGAGCYCTGATCCCGGTCTGCTCTGAGCTGGGGGAGGTGGAGCAAGCTGGGTGCTCGAAMATCCTGAGGGAAGCAGCTGCTGCTCAGTTCCAGCTTCTGGCTGGCACCCCGCTGGCAGCGCRGGCTGGTCTGGGTGCTGTGCTGGTAAATGCGTCAGCGTGAAATAAAAATAGAGTGGAGCTTGTCTGAGTGAAGTGATGCCCCTTGTCTGGGTGAAGTGTGCTGCTGGGGCAGGTGAGGGGGCTGGGGAGGGGCTGCAGAGGGGGCTGAGGCCCTTCCTGGCCGAGCTGGGGTCTGGGGTAAATCCCACTGTGCTCTCAGGCCACGCTGAGCAGTGCCTTGGCTCCGTGATCCTGGATGTTCCAGGTTTCAGGTGGTTGTTTCGTGGGAGTGCTGCTGTTTGTTCTGTTCACTTCAGTGTGTCCTGTGGAGAGCAGGTCCTGGGCAGGGTTTGTGAGCACCTGGTTCAGCAGGATCTTTGTCTGGTTTTGGAGAAGGGAATATTTTCTGTCTCTGCTGCTTTTGGATCTCCCAGCAAATGAACCCAGCTGACTCCWGCTCCGGAGTCATTGCCATCCCCTGGACTGTGCTCCCTATAAATCTCCAAGCAGGAACATAGAATTTTATACCTCAGTTATTACCTGTCCATAACTCTGATGCTGTGCCCATTYCAGACTGGATATCCAGGCAAAGCATWGMCTGGTTTCTGCTCCCTGGGCAGATCTGRGCAGGGGTTGGGTCATGCAAGTTGCAGGAATGTGTCAACCAAGGAGAGGAGCTTGCTAAAGAAAAGCCATGTGTGAGCAAGTCTGGAGAAAGGAAAAAAAAGGAGAAACAGATGCAAAAGTCCAGGGCACAGAAGAGTTAGGGAGTGAGGTCAGATCCCAGGAGAATGGACAGATCTCCCTTGGCTGTAGCAAAGTGTGGGAGCAGGAGGTATTCCACCTGTGGAGTTGCCAATAATGAAATAAGAATCAACCAAAAGCAAAAACCTCAAAGCCAGGGAGCAATCAGTACTTTCAAAACACTTGCAGGGCTTAAAAAAGGACTTTAAAAAGCAGGTCCTGCTTTCGAGAAGACAGGAGCTCTCAACAGCCCCCCTGGGACTCAGTGGGATGTCACCCTTGGCTGTTGAGTTTTTGAGGTAATTGCTTCTGAAACAATGATTTTTTTTTTTTTCCACTGGGGATACTGTGGTTTCCAGAAAGACAAACATTCCCTGTCTGCCAAATAAATGCTCTGCTAAAACAGATCATGGCCAGCTAAAAAGAGACAGGATATTATGGACTAACAGCCCTTGTCCTTGTCAAAGGGAGAGATTCGGTGCAATATGTCAGCCCATTCTACTTGAGCCAGGAGCCTGTCTCTCACAGAGGCAGGGATCAGTCCCACTGACTGCAGGTAATCCCTCAGGTTATGGACATCCAGGAAGCAGCGCCCAACAGGGACACAACAACCCTGTTTTCCTTCCAGATTTTACCTCTCAGAGATAAAAGGCGGTAAAAGTGTCTGTTTGAAGGATGAGTAGGTGTTTCCACAGGGAGAATGCTGTAAAGGTCTGTGAGCTGCCTCCAGGCTGAATCAGAACCTCATGTCCTGGATGAATTTTGCATTTAATCACCACCAACCTGTTGCAGCTGCACACGGGCTCAGTGACAGCCCATCCATCCTGCTGCAGCATCCGCTGGAGAGGAGTCATTGCTGAAGCCTGATTTGTTCCCTGAAGGGAAGCAGGGTGTAAATCCCAGGGCACTTCTGCAATACGTCAGGGTGAAGAACGACGAGGTTTTTACTTCCACTGCCCAAACTCTGGCAGCTGGGAGCAGAGGAGGCAGGAGCTTGGCCGCAGGAGGCTGCAGCAAACAGCAGCTCTGCAATAAGGTGCTGCTGAGGAGCCAGTGTCGCACTGCCTCTGGTCAGCCCTGCCTTCTGCTGCTCGGGGTGTCATGGGCAGGGTGTCCCTGCTGCTGCAGGGAGAGCAGGAGCATCTTGGCACTTAAAAAGCGTGACTTTACCCTCCTTCCTCCTCCACTGGCCTGTTTAAACCCTGTATCGCTGTTTTATTGACAGGATTTGAGCTGTTCTTTCCCCACACTTCCTGTTCCTTCTCCCCCTAATGCCTCTCAGAGAACATTTCCCAGGTTCAGGTCTGCTCACCAGAGTGACTCCCCTCAGCTTTTCTGCAGAGATTCCCCCAAAGGGAGCAGCCAGGTCTCAGCAGGATGTGCTGATCCTGTGCTGGCATTGCCACGCACAGAACAGCAGAGCTCTGCTGTGGGCAAAGCAATGAGGAAGAGAAAACTGACAGAACATGCTTTAGCAAAGCCTTTCCCTTGGAATATTTGGAGAAGGAAAGCCTGATAGCAGCAGCAGCTGAGGAAATCCCCTCATTTTGTGACTTGCTGCTCCCAGGGGGTCCTGCTGGAAAGGACCTGGCAGATGGCATTTTCCTGGAAGAGCTGTGCTCCTGCTGCTCGACGTGACAGCAAGGTCTTCCCATCCCACTGCTGCTGAGAGAGCTGGGGCTATCAGTCACACCACTGCCATGTGCTGGGAATCTCTGTGGGTSTGTGGAGTAAAGCCTCCTTCCTGGGGCTGCTGCTGTGTCTGGTCCTTGGCTGCTCCATCCTGGGATRAGCTGGGCAATGGGAGCCTGGCAGGGGTGGTTTGTGTGTGGGCCAGCAAATGTGGGGGCAATGGAGACAAAACCTCTGAAAACCCTTCAGCCCATGGGGCAAACACGGASTGATGGGATGGGATCCATGGGATGGGGTGGGAATAGATAGCAGGAATGTGAGCCCTGGGGAATGGGATAGCTCAGTCCCCTCCTTGCTGAGAAATGCTCCAGCCGTGGCTGTGGGTGTCACCTGTGGGTGTCTGGTGTGGTAACAGGTCCCTCAGTTGAGTCATTTGCTAAATGCAGTGTTGGGCTGTGCTTCCTCWCACATCCAATCATTCCAGGTAACACAAACTCTTCCCTTGTGCCTGCTCTGCTTCATCAGGTGTCTGTTTATTGCCAGTGGCCATGACAATTGAAGGATAGAACTCATTTATTTTCAATACACATTCTTCTGACAGACAGGGTCCACATAATGGAGCATATCTCATGCGAATATTGCTATTTTAAGACACAAGTTTCTGTCAATCTATCTGGCTTTCTCTATACATATTTTTTCTGCCATTCTTTCTGGTGCATCCATCAGGCCAATGTTTAGTGAATAGCTTTGGCTTTTCAGACTAACTAGTCTGTTCTCATCTCCTGTTATACAACTTCCACTTTCTTCAAGAAAAAAAGGCCAGGACAGTGGGTATTTGATTCAGAAAAATGTTACTTTTTTATTTAACAATTTTTGTGGAGAGTCATGACTTTTGCCAAGGTCTGCTCCAGAATCTGAGATGTCATAATGAGTACAATTCAGTGATAACTTTTACACAAACAGGCTGTTCTTYCAGTAGGAAATCAGGTCTCTGTGCAGCCTTCCCAGTCTGCACTGGAATATCTCRATTTTGGAGGTCTGTTGAGGGCCTGGGTGTGAGCACAGGCACAGAGGGAGTGCAGGGATATCCTTTTGCTGCTGCTGGAATCTTGTTGGGTCTGAAAGGAGGTGGATTCCTCCTGGCTCATGTATCTGGCAAACCCTGTCCTTGGGAAATGCAGACCCTTGTTCCAGCCYGTGCTTTTCTGGATTAAATTTCTCTGTCCCATGTGGATTTAAGGGTGTGGCAGTTCCCTGTGACACTGATGGRATTTGTATTTCCTTTATTTMTTAAAAAATGGTAGGATAATGCTTAAATTCCACAGGGAGTTTCATGGGTGGAAGCCAGCTGGGAYGAATGCTCATGAAAAACCATTCCTGAGTTGGAATGGTTAAAAGAGTTAAAATCAAATGAAGGCTGTGGAACTTCCRTGGGACCTTTTCATGGCAAACCCAGTTTTAAATCCTTTAATACTGAAAGTATAAACACTGGGTGAAACAAGTGCACAGGAGAGAAACTTCAGGGATGAGCTGCAGGTTGTGAACTTGGGACATTGGTGCACTGCATTTGGGACACTGATCTGACTGCAGAGCTGAGCAGTGACAAAGTCCTCCTCAGTGATCTCTGAACAAGRCTGTGTTTGGATGTGCTTTRAGCCAGGCCTGMTGCCCTCCCTCACTCRGGCTTTAGGATGGGGAGTAATTCARACAAGTGGGAAATGTCAGGAACAGGCAGAGCCAAAGTGTCAGAGCCAGYGGGAGAGCAGAGGGGCTGAGTGAGGAGGGAGATGAGGCACAGGGAGGGCCTGGGAGAGGAAGAACAAAGAATTTGTGTGTGCAAGAGCAGCTGTGGGCTTGGCCTTCCCTCGCTGGAGCAGCTGGCACTTGGTTTGGAGGAGAGCAA